AGCACTGGCAGCTGGACACCAGGGTCCAAAGCCCCACGCCCTGGAGGAATTCCCTGCCCAGCCAGTTCCAGCAAGATCCCCTTCTGGGGGGCAGCTGAGCCAGGTGAGTCAAAGCCCCCGGCGGGGCTCAGCACCTCCACCCCCCAAGCCCCTTTCACAGCCTTTCTGGTTGTAAATCTGCCACTTTCCAAACCGAAGCACTGTGCCATGATTAGGATGCACTGAAATCCCCACGGCGTGACAGCCCCAGGGAGCCCCTCCCCGTCCTAGCCCAGTCCCTGGGGAGCCCCACATGCTCTGAGGGCTGCGGAGAGGACCCCCGCACGCTCCCTGGAGCTCTGTGTGTGGGTCTCAAGCTGGGCAATCAGAGCGAGGAGTCTGCCCGCCCCTCCCAGCCCCCCAGAGGCAGGCAGGTCAGCCTCCCCCCCGTCAGACAGGGGCAGCAGGGGGCAGTGGCTTGCCCCAGGCGTGTGGCAGCACTGGAGCTCATCCTCAGGTACCCCTGACTCCCCAGACCACACTGTCCTCCCTGGGGGAGGCGATTTCTCCCCTCCCCCCTTCCAGAGCCACCCCAGGAGAGCCCAGTCAGCCTGCCCGCAGAGCAGCGCTGAGCAGCCCCGGCCATGCTGCCAGTGCCTGCGGCTCTAGTGCAGGCAGACTCACGTGCCAGGCCCCCTCTCCCCACCTCTGAGCCCCAGAGAGGGTTCCAGCCCCCCTGCGGCGGCTCACGCTCCTTGTTGCAGCCCCAGAGAGCCGTGGCTGCTGGGGGAGGGGGAGCGTGGCCTGCTGGGGGGGGGGTGCATGGGGCGGGCGCCAGGAGAGAGGATGAGTGTGGAGGTGAATACGTGAGTGCACGGGGGAAGGGGAGAATGGATGTGTGGGGGGGAAGGAGCTGAGGAGGAAGGAGGGAAAAGGAGGAAGAGGAAGGCAAGGAGCGCTGGAAAGGACAGAGGCAGGAGATGCGGGGTGCAGGCTGGGCTCCGTAGGTCATGGGGTCAGGGCACAATGCGGGAGCTGACTGCATGCAGGTCCTGCTTTTACATCTTGTCCCAGCTCCATCTCTCCTGTCTCGCTCTCTTTCTACCCATCAGTCCTGCAGCGGGCAGACCAACCTTCCAGCCCAGGCTCCACTCACTGCCCTGACACATCCCCTGCGGGTGCTGCAGCCTCCAGCTGTCTCGCTTGCACCAGTACCCTGCAGGAGGCTCAAAGACTGGCCAAGGTTTGCATTGAGACCCATGGGTGCCCAAGCACCCATCTCTGCAGGAGGCTTATCCCAGGGATGGGCACGCGGGACAGGGGCACGGGGGCGGTGGAGCAGGGTGTGCTTGGTGGAGCAGTGCATCCACACAGAGCTGGAGATGAGGTTTGAATGAGCCTCAACGTGATCCTTGCGACCTCCAGGTCCCAGTGCAAATCTCAGGCTGTCCCAACAACAGCAGCAAAGCAGAACCCGAGGGGGACAGTGGAGGAGGTTAAAAAAGCAGTGTAAGCCTTGCCACGCCTGTCAGGCCCACTCGCCCTGGGGAGTCCATTCTGGTGGCAGGCCAGGACCAGATCACTGGTTTCTCCATCGTCACCAGGGCAAAGGGCAGCCAGGAGAGTTTGGCACCTGGGCTGGTGCATTTGCACAGTAATTTTGCAGGGCTGGTTAAACCCAGGGAGTTGAGAGGAAGACCCAGCAGTGTGCTGTCAATAGTCCAGTGCCCGCCTGCGGTGGGAATAACTAGCTAGCCCGCAGTCTGTGTGGGGCAAGCGTGACACACGGTGGCTGCCTGGAAGTACTGCAGATCTGCATGCCCCCTTTGTAGCCTGCCTAAGCCGCTCGGGTTATTAGTGGGCCTGGGCCTCCTGGCTGCTCGGTACCCCACCGACAGGAAGGTGCAGCTCACACATCACCAGAGAGCCTGGTAGGGCAGGTGTTTGCCGCAGGGCCCTTTGAGGGGTGCCTCTAATAACAGACACCTCAGTGACGAGGGCTCTGTGAAGGCCTGACTAGAACTGAGGGCAGCTGAGGACCCAGGGGAACTGGCCAGCCCTGCCCTACACCCAGCATGGGGCAGTGTCCATCTCAAATGCCATAGGCCCTGCCAGGGCTGCAGGAGAACATGAAGCACTCCCACAGCACAGGCTGGTACAGGAGACCGAGGTGGGGGCACCACAGTAAGGAGCCTAGAGCCCAGGACCTTCTGCTCCAGAAACCAGGCCCCAGGGCTGCTGGGAAAACACCCCAGCAGCAGCCTTAGTCAGCCCCAAGGTGACACGCTCACATGGCATGCAGCAAGGTTAACATTCGCTCCAGGAGAGGGGACCCAGCCCAGCCCATACATGGCAAGGGGCAAAGAATGAGGGGCCTGGAGGACCCCATCAGGATGGGCACTCCGGAGGGATGGTGAGAGATGACTGGAGTGAGAGCTGGATGGGGGAGGGACAGAGGGTTGTAATGAGGTGGGGGAGGTGCAGGGTGCCAGGGAAGGAGAGGACGAAATACAGGAGGATTAACGCTCACAGGGCTAGACGATGAACGCT